GGGGAGCCTGCTGTGTTGGCCAAACAGTGGAGAAAAGCCTGCTTCTCTTGACATCAAGGACCAAGGTGCTTATCAACTCAGTTCCTTTTTCTCAGGAGCTTGAGAAGTCCTTGAGACCCTGTTGGTGAGGGGGCGGGGCTATCTGAACCTTAACAAGATCCTCCTCAGGCATCTGCATGCATACACACATGCACTTCCAACACATACATACACAGAAAAAGGTAACCGCTTTTTCGAGATGTAATTCACACACTGTGAAGTTTACCATTGTAATGTATGGCCTGGTAGATCTTAGTATCTCACAGTCCTGCAGCCACTTCCTAATTCCAGAGCATTTTCCTCACCCCTAGGCAGAAACAGAATCGTCCCAGTTGTTTCCCAGTTCCTCTCCTCCAAACCCCATCTTCCTACGTCTGGATTTCTGTGCAGGTGGAACCGTGCTCTATGGTCTTTGGTGACTGACTGCTTTCACTCACTGTGTGTTTGTGAGGCTCGTCCAGCCATTCAGGGTGTCATGGCTTTGTTCCTTTGCCTTGTTCTGCTGATTAATACTTCCTCGTATGGGTAGACCCTGTGCATACATCAGTTGCTGGTCACCTGGGTTGTTTTCTGAGCACAGATACTGGGCAGTGCGGTTCAGTGGGCACAGCAATGATTGACACCCAGGTGGAATCCAGTAAAGCATCGGATGTCTTCACTGCTCAAAACAGTACCCAATTTAAAACTCGCAGATTGTTTATTTCTGGAATATTTTTGGACTGTGGTTGGCAGAGGAAAACCAAAGCTAGGCAGTGGAGCAGTCTATAAGCTGTGCTAGAGTGTAATGTAATGCTCACTTCCTGTGTCTTCAAAGCAGTGGTCTCACTGGTGTGCCGAGTGCACACAGCGGCTGTGGACTTTTGATACTGCGCAGATCACCTCTACCTCTTCACGTCGCGGCTTCACGTGTGCAGTACGTTCTCTGGACACCGTGCCAGGCATATTCAGCACCCTGGGTCTTCACCATTAAGTCTGTCATTTTGTCCTTTGAGTGCAGTCCCCCCCTCCGCAAGGTAGTCCTTGGGTCCTCTTGCTGCTCAGGTCTCATTTCCTCCTTTTTCTTCCTAACCTATGACCTTTGACTTGCTGGCAGGGTGGGGCAAGAGATGAAATCAGCCCCTGCTCTGGTCCTCTCGGTGTCTCTTGTGGGTAACCCCTGATTTCCGTGTGAACTGAGAGGTGGCGGCAGACCTTGCCTGCTTCCCGGACCCTGTTTGATACCTTACCCCCAAGCCGTGGTGTCCTTCACGTTGTTTTTAAAGCTTGGAAACCCAGGCTGGTCTACATGCCAGGGTCTGCTGTTAAGCTTGCTGGATGGGAGCCCTGGCTGCTTGTCTCCTGCCCTGCCTGTGTGCACCCATGGTTTTCCCACCAGAGGACTCTGAGGATGTAAGAGAGAACTGAAGGGTATACCAGCTTCTCGTGGCAGCTTTGCCAGTTGACTCTTTCTCAGCACTCACTCACTGTGTTTGTGTAGGATTGGATATCCTGGCTTGCACATGGTACAAGTAGCTGCTTGAAGGATGGATGGGTGACCTTAGACCTGGAGAGTGAAACTGGGAGTGACCCAGGACAGGAAGTCGGTAGTTGTTCTAAATGTAACTTCATGGTAATGCAGGGCAAGCCCAGACTCTGAGGACAGAGATGGCTTTGTGATGCCAGAAGAATCTTGATGTGGAAGCATTGTCTGTGCTTCCATCTCAGAGATGTCTGAAGTGCTGGTACTGTATGTCCTCATTCAATGTGATGAGTCCTTTCAGCACAGATTTGAGACTGGTTGATGATGCTGGGTGTGTCAGTATATTCCTTTCTGTTCTAAGAGTCACCAGGTGGATACGGTAACTGTATATCCATTCACTGCTGATGGGCATTTGCATCATTTCCAGTTTGGCCCTTTCATAAGGAAAGCCACTGTGAACGTCTCCATGCAGATCTTTGTGTGGACATGCATTTTTGCTTCTCATGGGTAAATCCTAGTCGTGGCATGGCTGGGTCATGTGGTAGACCATGGGCAGACGTATGTAGCAGTCTCTCATTGTGATTTTAGTTTGCATTGCTCTGAAAATGTTGGTCACTGTCTTCTGGCTTGCATTTTTCTAACTAGAAATCTCTCTTACCTTTTTCCTTTAAAATAATGGCCCTCCATCTTCTTTTAAGAGTTTCCTGTTTTATTCATCTAAACAGCTTGATTTCAGTGTCCCTTGATACGCATGCTTACACCTGCTTCTTGAGTTTGCCATTCGTTAAGCTTTTTGGATTTGTGAGTTTATGGTTTTCATTAAATTTCAAGTATTTTTGGTCAAAATTTTTTCCTGCTCCCACTACCCCATGTAGGGATTCTAAACACAGGTCTGTGAGGCCACACGAGCTTGTCCGCTGCTCTCTGCTATTCTTTTCATTCTTTTCCTTTCTCCTTCTGGAAGTTTCAGTGTTGTGCCTTCATGGCCACCTCTCTTAGTGCTGTTGATGACCACTTTGCACAGTGAACAAACTTTGACTTAACGTCCTGATGCCCTTGCGTGCTGGTTCTGACTTACGTGGTTTGGGGGTGGCTTTGATGGGTTGGGGCTTTACTCATTGTAGTCCGTATTTTCTTGCTTTTTTGAGTTTTTTTGAGTCAGTGCAAAGATTAGTGGCTACAAGGTTCTATAGTCTCAAAGATGTTCTTGTGCTTTCTTGTGGGATGTTGTCCACCACACAGAATTTGTTTGATCTTGATCTTTTCAGGCCTTGCATTTTAGCTTTGCTAGGAAGGACCCAAGCAACATTAGGCCAGACTCTGGGTTTCCCATGTACGCTGCCTGATGCCCTTGGATTATGGGTTTCCTCTCTGTCTTGGGAGCAGGCACCATCATCGATGCTGGGAACTGGCCCTGTGGGACGTGGTTCCTCTGGCCCTGGGTTGTCATTCAAACATGTGGCCTGGCCAGCGTTTGGGTAGTGACACGGAGGATGGCCTTCCGTGGCTGGGATAGGGACACTTCCTCTCAAGCTCTCTGTCCTCTGGAGTATAGCTCTCTTTTCCTCTTCGAAGTTTGTTCACAACTCAGGCATCCTCACTTTACTGGGATCCCCTCAACTTGGAACACCCAAGGAGTATTCTTGGTTTCTTTTCAGTCAAGGACTAATGCCCATCCCTGCCTCTTCCAGACCAGTATCTTAAAACTGTTCTCAATGTGTATATGTTTTAATATTTTAGGTAAATCTAGAGCAGCTCTCTGTTCTGAAGTAAATTTTTTAAATCACTCAGATGAGGGGCTTTTTTTGGGGGGAGGGATTGTTTTGTTTTTGAGGCAGCGTCTTGTGTAGTCAAGATTGGCCTCAAAGTATTCACTGTGTAGCCAAAGATGATCTTGAACTACTGATCCTTCACACACATACACACACCACCCAGTGCTGGAATTACAGACATGCACCTCCATATCCAGCTTTACACAGTGCTAGGAATCAAATCCAATGCTTCGCACACCCCCAGCGCTTGTTGCCCCCGTGCAGTGCATGTTCCTGTGCTGCCTGTGGATTCGACTTGACTTGCAACCAAGGATTGAAAGGCCTGGCCCTCTGCCTTACTATCAGCTGGTGGCAGCTGCAGCCTCAGACCTCAGGAGGTGTAGGGCCTACTCAGTCAGCACAGCCCACACTGAATGCCAGTGACTATTCTGGGTTCAGATTCATATTTGCATATTTTACTTAAGTGTTTTTTAAAAAAATACTACTCACACTTCTACATCTTACTAAAGTCTGTTTTTTTGTTTTTTTTCTTTTTTGGTCTTTTTGAGACAGGGTCTCCCTGTAGCCCCAGCTGTCCTGGAACTCACTATGTAGACCAGGCTGGCCTCGAACTCACAGAGATCTGCCTGCCTCTCCTCCCAAGTGCTGGGATGTACCATGCCCGGCTTAAAGTCCTTTTTTAATGGAAAGGATGGATGGTTCTTTTTCACTTATTCTTTTGGTTGACTTTCTCTAATGAAGATTCACAAGGCTGGCTTTTGATATGAGATTTAAAAATCCAAATGCCCTTATAATGAGTCTGAGTTTGTTTTTTGTATTGCTATGATAAAACACTGACCACAAACATCTTAGGGGGAGGAAAAGGTTTATTTGGCTTACAGGTTTAGTCCATCATTGAAGGACACCACGGCAGGATCTTGAAGCCGAAACCTTGGAGGGACACTCTTTACTGGCTTGCTTCCCCTGGCTTGCTTGCTACCTTTCTTATAAAGACTGCGTCAGCCCACCTGCCTAGGGATGGCACTGCCCGCAGTGGGCTGCACCCTCATATATCAACTAGCAATCAGAAAATGCCCCACAGGCATGCCCACAGGTCAGTCTGATGGAAGAAATTCCTCAGTTGAGAGCCCCCTTCCCAAGTATGTCTAAGTTTGTGTCAAGTTGACAAAAACTACCCAAGGTTATAGAATAACTTACCTGCCAGGTTCACCATTTAAAACCATTTCAGGGGCTGGAGAGGTGGCTCAGCGGTTCAGAGCACTGGCTGGTCTTGCAGAAGACCCAGGTTCAAATCCCAGCACCCACATAACAAGTGTCTGTAACATCAGTTCCAGGGTATCCAACACCCTTTTCTACACTCCTCTGGCACTGCATGCACATGGTGCACTTACATACATGCAGACATAATACTCATAAAATAAAAATAAAAAAAATCTAAAACCATTTCAAACAGTTTTCAACAATTAGGATTTCTATCTATGTTCTTTAATATAAAAGTAAAAATGGTTGAAATTTTGCAACATTATGAGAACACAGAAGGAAAAAACATTTGAAATCACTGACACCATCACCTCTGGGGATAACTGTTACTGATAGTTGGTGTCTTTCCTTTAGTGCAGATTTGATTTTTCAAATGTATTTAATGTATTTGTATATACAAATAATATATTTGTATATATATATACACACTTGTATATTCATATAGAACCTATATTTGCTTTCTGTTTCAGTGGAAGACGTATAACCCTGCCTTTTCCCAGCTGGAAATTTGGTTCCGCTTCGTCTTTGTGGTGCTTACCTTCATTGTCACTGTGAGTACCTTTCGCCTCATGGCCTAGGCTGAATCAACAATGATGAGGCTAATTTAAGCATTGTGATCATCAGAGAGCAAGCTCCGTAGGGCTTTTCCAAACTCTAGTGCACACCCTGCAGTGGGCTGGCCCAGTATCACTAAACAGTCTGTGTCCACCAGGATGCTGTGGTGCAAAAAGACTGAATAAGTTAGGGTTCAGTTTGGGTTTCTGTTGCTGATCACTGGCTTCTAGTAAAGCTTCATCACTGTAATAAAAAATGCCATTCGACCTTCGTAGAGGGAGTCAGCCTTGTTTGAGTGACTACCTCTGGGTTTTTATGTTTGGAAAATTATTCTGGACCTCTTGAGTGTTTGGGCTACAGAGAAATAGTTCCCCAAATGCAAGTTTTTGCCTCATTTGGGAACTGAGGTTTATGTCCACAGGTGCACTCCCAATTTTGGGAAAATATTAAAGACAGAAGGGCACCATAGAGAGCCCGGCTGTGAAGATGGTGATTTAGAGATTGGAGACAGACGTGTGCCGTTTAGTGGCTGATGGCCACCTGAGGGTGCATTCTGCCCTTACCAGCTGTTCACCCTGACGCTGACAGGGACTGTGTGATATTTAGAAGATGTGTTCAGTCAATGGTGGCCTCTCTAGCTACCAACTAAAGAATTCTTGGTGTCTTGCAGACCCCATTTGGAGAGGACACAGGCATGTCCTCTCCAAGTGTGTGTGTGTGTGTGTGTGTGTGTGTGTGTGTGTGAAGTGTGGTGGAGACAGGGCCCTGGGCCCTCGAATCAGCTAGGAGCTGAGGCTTAGGGTGTCTGTACCAAGCCTGGGGCCTTGAAGAATCCTCCTTAATGAAGTGGACCATTGGCATCGTAGCTGATCTCTCAGAACTCGATATTTTCTGAGGGCTGCCTGGTGCCTGGGTTCTCCCAGAGCCAAGACTGGTGCTCACAGCCATCAGTATGCTCCCAAATGAGAAATGGGCCTCAACTTCAGCAGGTAACCTACCGGAAAAAAAAATTGCCCATAAGCTAGGAGATCCAGGTGACCCAGAAAATTATTAATTTATATCAGATGGCAGGAAAAAACCCGAACCTAAATGTCACACATTGTGTTTGCAAGCTGTTTAAAGACATTTCTCCCAAGGGGCCTACACACTCAAGTAGGTGTTTTGAAAATAAACTCAGCCTCAGAGTGTGAGCATGAGCCTTGCCTCTTAGCTTTTCCTTGAGGATCCTAACACCTTCCTTAGAAGTTGGTATCATCTGTCAGAGCAGCTCTAATGGGACAGTTGACCTGGTAGGGTCCACAGATGTGCCTGTGCTCTAGGGAGTCCTGTCATGTGGAGCAGGCCTGTCTGAAGCAGCCTGGCCAGGCAGAAGTTAGAGGGATGGGCATTCTCTGTTTGCAGAGAATTTATGGTCACTGTGGGAACAGCTTGTGACCCACTTCATCTGTGGCCCCATGCAGCAGTTACACATCTTGACTTGGTTGTCCCTGATGGCCTGTGGGGCCCCAGGGAATAACCCAGCAGATCCCGCCTGGTGCCTAGTCCTCAGATGGGGTGAGATTCACCGCGCTGGGGAAGCAGAGATGAACAGAGAATCACTGGACCTGTTTGCTTTGCAGTGCTTATTTGCACATTCCCTGCGCAAGTTTTCCATGAGAGACTGGGGCATCGAGCAGAAGTGGATGTCTGTCCTCCTGCCGCTGCTCCTGCTGTACAACGGTAGGTGCCATTTTTATCGTGAAACTTTCCCTTCTCAGATTCAGAGCTGGCAGGCATCTGGAGGTGGCCTGGTCCCAGAGTCCCCAGAAGAGCCCACTAGGAACCCCTGGAGGATTATGTAGTAGTACGCTCCATGCTCCCCAGGTGCCATGTAGCCCAGGCGCGGCAGATGCCTGGAGCCTTAACAAACACAGCAGTAGTTAGAACTTGGATAAGCTACAGACACAGCAGTCCTGGAACTTGGCTGAGGTGTCTGTACGGCTGTCTTCCTCCGTCCCCGTTCCAGAAAGCATTTGCTTCCTGAACTGCAGTGCTCGGAATTCCCAGGCCTGGGGAGAAGCTGCTGCAGGGGCAGATGGTGCTCAGGAAACAAAACAGCCTTTGGTTCACTCCCTGTCCTTCAGCTCCGAACAGGGAAAACACGACAGTGAGCTCAGCTCACAGAGGGGAGGGTGTTCTGTGCTGGCCAGTGGCCAGCCCGCTCTTGTCAGTGTTTCCGTCTTCTGGCTTCCAGACCCGTTCTTCCCGCTCTCCTTCCTGGTGAACAGCTGGTTCCCAGGAATGCTGGATGACTTCTTCCAGTCTGCGTTCCTGTGTGCCCTGCTGCTCTTCTGGCTGTGTGTGTATCATGGGATACGGGTCCAGGTAAGTGGCAGAAAGTGCCTCCTCTCTGAATGCTGAGAGTGCTCCTTCCAGATGAGTGGGGCCGGGAGACCCCTCCCTAGTCTCATGCCGCATAGCAGATGAGTGCTATGGAGAGGTGTTGGGTATCTGTGATCTGATATGTTCTGTTAGGGTTGTTCACTGTTTCTGTATTTCTTACTTTTTTTTCTTACTTTTTTTTGCTTTAGGGAGAAAGAAAATGTTTGACTTTCTATTTGCCTAAATTCTTCATTGTTGGACTGTTGTTTTTGGCTTCAGCTACACTAGGAATATGGCAAACGTGAGTAACACAGAGTGGGGTGCAGCATCAGTCCCATAAAGCGTTGGCAGAGGGCGCAGACCAGCTCTGATTGCTCTGTGGTCTCAGTACAAAAGGATCCTCTGTGCTTCACACATGGCCAGATAACTGGAACCAAGAAACCGGGTTTGCTTAGTGGCTTGTAGCAAGCACACTAGTCTAAGGTGAAAAGTGAGAAAGCCCATATCCTTTTGGACTGCGAGAGACGAGGACTTCGTTTGCTGGGGTGGTGCGCAGGATGGTCCAGCAGAGCTTTTGGATTCCCCTGGTACTTGCATTGTCAGGTCTTCCGATCCTTGCATGAGCCTCAAGGTTTATCCTGGTCAGACTTGTGGCCCTGTAACATGTAGGACCACAGAAGCTGCGGCCTGGCCCCGCCCCCCAGAGAATGCTCCTCAGAGTAGTTTCCTGCTCGGTGTGGTTTTTGAGGTTGCCACGTCTCGTTCATGCCCCAGCAGCCTGCGGTGGTGCCAACAGGATGTCACACCCATCTGCGTCACTTCCCTGGCCCTGCTTCTCTGCCCAGGTGTGCCATCAAAAACAGCTCTTGGTGGGATTGGAGAGACGGCTCAGCAGTTAAGAGCACTGGCTGTTCTTGCAGAGGGTTGGGTTCCCAGCACCTACACATGGTGGCTAACAACCATCCTTAACTCCAGTTCCAGGGGATCCAAAGCCCTCTTCGGACCTCTGTGGGCATTGCATGACATGGGTACACTTACATACATGCAGGCAAAGCACTCATACATATAAAAATAGGCAAATTAAAAAAAAATAGCCATCTCTTGGGACTGGAGAGATGGCATAGCCGTTAAGAGTGCACACTATTCTTGCCCATACCCAAGTTCATTTCCCAACATGCATGTGAGGGTACTCAGCTGCCTATAACTCTAGTCCGAGAGGATTTGATGCCTCTGGCCTCCGTAGGTACCCCTGTGCACATGCTTGTATGGGCATGGACACACACACACACACATTCATAATTAGAAAAGTAAAATAAATCTTAAAAAAAAAAACTTTTAAACTCCGAAGAATTTTTGTAAGAAAAACGTCCTGCAACTTTTCCGTAGTAGATACTTTTTCATTGTGAGATATGAAATACAGGATTGACACTTAAAAACCCTTCAATGTTGATAGCAAGTCTTGTACATTAACAAGTAAAAAAGCACAAAATGGAAAGTAAGGAGAAGTATAAAATGTAGAGTAAGTTTTCTTATTAACCTGTATTTTAACATCATCATTTTAGATTTAATGAATTACATGATCCAATGTATCAGTATCGAGTTGACACCGGAAATTTTCAGGTAAGCATGGTTCATGCAGGCTCAGGAGTTCTAATCTTTTATGAAATGACTGAATTTTGTAACTTATATGGTGGTTAGTAAAAGCTTCTACCTGTTTGGAAAGGACTATAGAAAGTGTAAGGGTAGAAGATTTCGGGAAAGCAACTGAGTGATATAAAATAAGCTCTGAGCTGGGGAGATGGCTCAGTTGGTAAAGTGCTTGATGTAGAAGCATAAAGACCTCAGCCAGAGAGGGCTCTGGGCTGGTAAAGAACACTGGTTTGGGATCTGAGGAAGGCCTGGACGAGGAGGACTCTGGGATAAGGAGTCAGGGGTAGGGAGACTGGGGCAGGGCACCCTGGGAGGGCTGAGCACAGAAAGGAACTCAGTACTGTGGGGTTGGAGCCAGCTGTCTGAGGACTGGGCTTCAGGTTTTCTGGGTGGAGGATGAGGGGTCCACGAAGAAGCATCCCTGACCCATTTCCCAGGGAATAGTCACCTGAGGCTGCTGGTGAGTGGAACTCACAGGTTTGGAGGAGTGGCTGGTGACCGACAGGACCGCTCTTGTCATTGCTCTTGCCTAGCCTGGCTTATTTCTTTTTTTTAATTTTTAAAGAGTTTATCTGTTTTTATTTTATGTATGAGCGTTTTGCCAGCATGTATGTAAGTATACCTGTGCTATGTCTGAAGAGGCTTGAAGAGGGTATCAGATCCTCTGGAACTGGCATTATGGATGGTTGTTAGATGCCATGTGGGTGCTGGGAATCGAACCCGGGTCTTCTTGCAGAGCAGCTAGTGCTCTTACCCACTGAGCCATCATCTCTCCAGTTCCATCTCCTTGTTTCTTACGTGAGATAGCTGAGGACAAGAGAAGGAGGCAGAGCCACGAGCAGCATTGTGAGGGCGTGCAGCCAGGGCCACTGCCAGCTCTGTGGGCAGCCAGGGAGTGAGCTTTCTCCGCTAGTCCTGTTTCTTCATTTATGAACTGGAACAATAATGGGATCCTCCATCATACAAGGAATGTAGAGCACTTGGCCAAATATAATAGCCAAGGGCCTATCCTGAGTTACTGGTTTGTTCCGTCCTTCCTTTCCCAGTCAGGACTCAGGCTGTGAGAGGCTCAAGAACTGATGGCAGCTGAAAGATACAGTAGGGATCTGCGACTTCTAGGCACTGGGAACGCAGCCCTGGCCTACCTTTTATTTAATAGGAGAGGCAGTAAAACCAGACGAAAGTTCTTCCAATGCAGAAGCAGAATCCTGTCCCTGGACCTGCACTTCCCTCCTCAGATTCATGATTGTGCTGCAGGGAGGGCAGGAGGCCTTGCCCAGAGGAGCAAAGGTCCTGTTGGCAGGAGGGCTTGATGAGGAGGGCACACATCTACCAGGAGCCTGGCCTTTGCCAAAGCCACTGACCTCCCATCCTCACAGGCAAGGGAATGCTTCTAGACCTGAAATCTTGTAGTGCCTCCCGCTGAGTTCCTGGCTTCTCAGATGGGAACACCATGGTCCGGAACAGACAGGACTTGCATGAGGACCAGCAGGGTCCAGTCCTAGAACCTATCAGTATGGCCTTTGTTCTCAGTAGCAGGACTGGGGCCAAGTGTGCCCCAGGTGGAGCTGTCAGTGGTGCCACCTCCTGATACTGGGGCTGTAGGGTGCCTTGGGGCTCTGGGCCCCTTCTCATGGCACTGGGCTTTGACACCTGTGGTGCTGAGAGAGATGCACTCTGAAGCCTGTGTTCATTCCCACGCCCATCTCCTTCATTCCAGGGCATGAAGATCTTCTTCATGGTGGTGGCTGCTGTGTACATTTTATACCTCCTGTTCTTGATAGTGCGGGCTTGCTCCGAGCTCCGTCACATGCCTTACGTAGGTGAGCATCACTCCAGGAAGCACCGGGGCAGTAAGGGCTGCACCTTGGGAAGCCTTTGGTCCTGGGAAGCCATGGGATGCCTCAGTAAGGGCCAGCCGTTTGAAGGGAGACTCTGAGGTGGACATGGGCGGTTTCTGCTGTTACAGGCTGTGAGAACCTTCTGGGCCCTTCTAAGATCACACCATTATCCTTGGCCAAGGCAAATCACCTGATCTCAGGGTCTTTTGCCAGAAACTACTGCACAGGGCCTCCCTAAGCATGGCCTTCCCCAGCTGTAGTAAAACAGGCTTGGAGCCTGCAGGGGAGAGGTCTGCTCAGGAATGGTTTTGGTTTTTATTTTCGAACTCTAAGGTGAGGTGGAATTTACTAATGGGAACATTTCTTTCTTTTTTAGATCTCAGGTTAAAGTTTTTGACTGCGTTGACCTTTCTTGTGCTTGTTATCAGGTAAGACTATTCCTTAAGGCTTTCTTCCGTGTGTCTGTGTGTCTGTGTGCATGTGGGGGCCAGAGGTTGCCACTGAGTATCTTCTCCTGTCATTGTCTTATTTTTTTACATTTACCTAATTGTGTGTGTATGCATGTGGAGGTCAGGTTGACATTGCGTGTCTTCTTTCTCTTAGTTTTTTTGCATCTATTTCTCTGTGTGTGTGTGTGTGTGTGTACATACATTCCACAGCACACCCGCAGAAGTCAGGACAATTTAAGCTCTGGAGATTCACTTGTCTCTGCCCCCGACCACACCCAGTGCTAAGCGGTAGACACTCAGCACAACTACTGTGTGGGCAGTGCAGAATCTGAACTTGGGTCTCCAGCTTGCACAACAGGCACTGAGCCATCTCCCCAGCCCCAAGACTTTATTTCTTGAATAAATCAAAACTGCATTAAAAAAATTTTTTTAAGATTTAAAAAAATATATATTTTATTATTTTTATTTTATGTATATGAGTGTATTGCCTGCATGTATGTGAGTGCACCCATGTCATGCAATGCCGCGGAGGTCAGAAGAAGGCTTCGATTTCCTCTGGAACTGGAGTTAAGGACGGTTCATAGCCGCCATGTGGGTGCTGGGAATCGAACCCGGGTCCTCTGCAAGA